ACTATATCAAATTCATCTCTATAAACACGGAGGAATAGTTATATTTATTTGATACTTATATGCTTCACACTCTCATTTATTATATACAGGTGAAAATACGATTTTGCATTTGCAAACGGGACGTTACCTTTTAAAATCTTTCCTAATTGCAAAAAAGGGATCTCCGATAGGTGGTCGACTAAGTTACCTTTCTTTTTACTCTAATATACTTATGGAAAAATGTTCCGCTGAAACAATAGAAAATCTTTTGGATGCTGAGACTCAACTTGGTGCATTTCGTCACATGTATCTACGACGTTTGTCTGATCTCGATTCGAGTATTGAAATATCTGCAATAACACATCTGCATGGTTATGATGGTTCTAAAGCGGATCATATGATTGATATTGTTCATTTATCTAAAGCATATTGCCATTATACAACTTTAATTAATTCACATGAAGGATTACAATCAGTAAAAAAAGAACAACCAGCAATATATCCAATTCTTCGCGCATTAATAGATCTTTACTTTATAAATATAGTCTTAAACCAATCAGGAGATTTTCTTATAGATGGATATTACACACCACACCATATTTCACTTTTAAAGCAAGGACAAAAGAAACTATTAAACATTATTAGACCTGAAGCTATAGGTTTGGTTGATGCTTGGGAGTTTAGTGATAACCATTTAAATAGCGCATTAGGAAGAGAAGATGGAAATGTTTATAAAGCCTTGTATGAATGGGTTAAAATGGAACCCATGAATATTTTGGAAAGACAAGGAAAAATTGTAGGTTATGAAGAAGGACTAAAAGATATTTACACTGGAAAGTATTTAGAGAAAATTAAAGAAACTGAAATAGGTAAAGTGAACCCTAAGCTATAAATTAAAAAGTTATACAAGCTACATGTAGTTTTGTTTCAAAGTTTTATCACGCCAAAATATATTGTTATCAACTTACAAATTTTGTTACTACCAACAAACATGATAATGTTTAAAGGAGTATTTTGGCAAAGTTTAAAATAATCGATAAATTTTTTATTTTCAATATAAAAAATTATTTTTTTCCTTCTTTCTTTTTATAACTTTGAGGATATTTTAACGAATTTGGATTCAGTATTTATAGTTCATTTCTAGTAAAAATAATAAATAGTACTATTATTAATATAGTTTTACTTATTTTAAATAACTTGTGAACAAAGTTAATATTTACTATATTTATTACTGGTGGCTAGTGTCACGGGTTAATTGGTACCCTGGGATTTCGTGGTGCCGGATTAGGATCAGGTGCATAAGTGGCATGATTCGGATCTGCATGAATTGCGTGATCGTCGAATTAGTAGATGCATAAAAGTAATTTATA